CTACCTTTACACACACTCCCAGACTCATACACTAACTTTTGCAACTTTTCTTTAGAATCTCCCAAAAGCACAGTATCATCAGTAACTGTGTCAACTCCCACTTTGTATTTTATTCCCCATAATTTAATCCCACCCCTCACCAACACCCTAGCTAGCATTTACTTCTTTTACAACCCCATCTATAAATATATTAAACAATCATGGTGACATTACACATCCCTGTCTAAGACCTACTTTTACTGTGAAGTAATCTCCCTCTCTCCTACACATCCTAACCTGAGCCTCACTATCCTCGTAAAAACTCTTCACAGCATTTAGTAACTTACTACCTATTCCATACACTTGCAACATCTGCCACATTACTCCCCCTATCCACTATCATATGCCTTTTCCAAATCCATAAATGCAATGAAAAACTTCCCTACCTTTATGTAAGTACTGTTCACATACATGCTTCAATGTAAACACTTGATATACACATCCCCTACCCACTCTAAAGCTTCCTTGCTCATCTGCAGTCCTGCTCTCTCTCACCTCTAATTCTTTCAATAATCCTACCATACACTTTACCTGGTATACTCAGTAAACTTATTCCCCTATAATTTTTACCATCTCGTTTGTCCCCTTCCCTTTATACAAAGAAACTATAAATACACACTGCCAATCCCTAGGTATCTTCCCCTCTTTCATACATTTATTAAACGAAAATACCAACTACTCTAGCACTATATCCCCCCTGCTTTTAGCATTTTTGTCATGATCCCATCAGTTCCAGGTGTGGACTTAATAAAAGTATTAGTCAGAGGGTCACCCCTCTGGTGAGATGGTTTGGTCATTTAGAGAGAATGGATCAAAGTAGAATGACCTGGAGAACGTATAAATCTGTACGGGAAGGACAGTGGGATAGGGGTCATCTTCGAAAAGGTTGGAGAGAGGGGATAAAGGAGATTTTGTGGGAGAGGGGCTTGGACTTCCAGCAAGCATGCATGAACGTGTTAGATAGGAGTGAATGGAAATGAATGGTTTTTTGGGACCTGGTGAGTTGTTGGAGTGTGAGCAGGGCAATATTTCATGAAGGGATTCAGGAAAACAGGATTTATATATGGCCTGACTTGAGTACTGGAAATGGGAAGTACAGTGCCTGCACTTTAAAGGAGGGGTTTGGGATATTGGCAGTTTGGTGGGATATGTTATATATCTATACAGTGGACCCTCGCTTTTCGTTAGCATCGGAAGTTGTAATTTTCAAAAATCGTAACTTTTTTGTTTTGTCAAAACACTGACTCGCAAATAGTCGTTCGTCCCAAATGTGTACACACGGCCCCGAGCGGCCCCACACTCCATTCCCAGCCAGTGTACCATTGCTTACCAGCAAGTGAGGATGATCCCATTCGTTCATACGGTACATTTCATAATACAGTGGACCCCCGCATAACGATCACCTCCGAATGCGACCAATTATGTAAGCGTATTTATGTAAGTGCGTTTGTAAGTGTATGTTTGGGGATCTGAAATGGACTAATCTACTTCACAATATTCCTTATGGGAACAAATTCGGTCAGTACTGGCACCTGAACATACTTCTGGAGTGAAAAAATATCGTTAACCGGGGGTCCACTGTATATTCCATTCATTTTAGTGCTTGTCACTGCTAAATAAGCCACCATGGCTCCAAAGAAAGCTCCTCCTTTGGTAAAAAAGGTGAGAAACATGAGAAACACAATAGAATTCAAGAAAGACATCACTGAAAAATATGAAAGTGAAGTGTGTGTTGCAGAGCTTGCCATGTTCTATAACAAACCCCATACTACCATCGCTTCCATTGTGGCCAAGAAAAAGGAAATCAGAGAAGCTGTTGTTGCAATAAGGGTAAACTTGCTCACAAAAATGAGATTGCAAGTGCTCGAAGTTATTGTTGGTGTGGATCAACAGGAAACAATTAGCAGGAGATAGTGTTATGCAGTTGATAATCTGTGAAAAGGCAAGGCAGTTGCATGACGATCTTGTAAAGAAAATGCCTGCAACGAGTGCTGATGTTAGTGAATTTAAGGCCAGCAAAGGCTGGTTTGAGAGATTTAAGAAGTGTAGTGGCATACACAGTGTGGTAAAGCATGGTGAGGCTGCCAGTTCTGACAAATATGCGGCTGAAAAATATGTGCGTGAATTCAAGGGGTACGTAGAGGCTGAAGAATTCAAACTCCAAGAAGTGTTTGTGAAGAAACAGGCCTCTTTTGGAAAAAATGCCAAGGAGGACCTACATCACACAGGAGGAAAAGGCACTAGCAGGACAAGCCTATGAAAGACAGGTTTACTCTTTTGTTCTGTAGTAATGCTAGTGGCGATTGTTTCAAAGGTGATTTGATGTGACCTTAAGACACTCGACTGACCCTAAGAGAGTTTTGGAAAGATCACTTCAGTATCCTCCATTGCATAAACCTTATAGATAAGGCTTGGGAGGGGATGACTTCCAGGGCTTTGAACTCTGCTTGGAGAAAACTGTTGCCAGATTGTGTCCAAAAGAGGGAGTTTTAAGGGTTTGGGACTGACCCCAAGGACCCTATGCTAGTTGTGGAATCTGTTGTGGCATTCGGGAATTCCATGGGGTTGGATGTGAGTAGCGAGGTTGTGGAAGAGTTAGTGGAGGACCACAACAAAGAGCTAACCACTGAAGAGCTGCAAGAGCTTCATCTGCAACAGCAACAGACCACAGCTCAGGAAATTACTTCAGAGGAGGAGAGAGGGAGATGGAAGGTGCCTTCTTCAGAGAATAAGGAGATTGTGCAATGTGGATTAGGATGGAAAGATTTGTGGAGGAACATCACCCTGACAAAGCTCTTGCAAGCCGTGTCGGCTTGCAAGAGCAAGAAATTTTAAAGAGGTGCCAGAAACAGAGCTCTCTGGATAGATATTTAGTGCCACAGGTGTGCAGTGACTCTGAAGCTAGTCCTAGTGGTATTAAAAAACAAAGAAGGGAAGTAACCCCAGAAAAGCACTTTGTACCTGAAGTTTTTATGGAAGGGGATTCCCCTTCCAAACAGTAATTAATCCATCCTCTCTCCTCCTCCTGTCTTCCATACACTACGAAGAATCTTCAATAAAGGTAAGTGCCAGGCTATTATTGTTTATTCTTCATGTCTCGTTTTCTGTGTAGGTAAATGTATATTTCGTGTAAAAAAAATTGTTTCAATACTTTTGGGTGTCTTCAGCGGATTAATTGGATTTGCATTATTTCTTATGGGGAAAATGGTTTCGCAAATCGGCAGTTTCGATATTAGTCACTCTGGAAAGGATTAATTACGAAAAACGAGGGTCCACTGTATATGCTTCTAAACTGTTGTATCTGAGCGCCTCTGCAAAGACAGTGATTATTTATGAGTGAGGTGAAAGTGTTGAATGATGAAAGTACTTTCATTTTGGGAATTTTCTGTCTTTCTGGGTCACCCTGCCTCGGTGGGAGACGGCCAACTTGTTAAAAAAAAAAAAAAATCTAAACTGATTCCTTTTAAGCATAAAGATAACATTTTGCTACGAAGTATTGAGCTTTTAACTAGTCTTTCAAACCAGGATTATCATTATTGCACCATACTAAGATGTTTTAGTATGGTGTAAAAATGTTATTCCTGGTTTGAAAGACTAATAAGTTAAAAGCTCAATATTTCATAACATAGCATCAATTGCATCTGCTAGAAAAATGACTGGATGGATAATGAGAACCTTCAAAACTAGGGATGCCAAGCCCATGATGACACTCTTCAGGTCATTTGTTCTATCTAGGCTGGAATATTGCTGTACACTAACAGCACCTTTCAAGGCAGATGAAATTGCTGACCTAGAAAATGTACAGAGAACCTTCACGGCACACACAACTGCGATAAAACGCCTCAATTACTGGGAATGCTTGAAGTTCCTTAACTTGTATTCCCTAGAACACAGGTGGGAGATGCATGATTATATACACTTGGAAAATCCTAGAGGGATTAGTACCAAACTCTCACACAAAAATCACTCCCTATGAAAGCAAAAGACTCAGCAGACGATGCAACATCTGTCCAATGAAAAGCGGGTGCCACTAGCAAGATAAGAGACAACACAGTAAGTGCCAGGGGCCCAAGACTGTTCAACTGCCTCCCAGCATACATAAGGGGGATTACCAATAGACCCCTGGCTGTCTTCAAGAAGGCACTGGACAGGCACCTAAAGTCAGTACCTGACCAGCCAGACTGTGGTTTGTACGTCAGGTTGCGTTTGGCCAACAGTAACACCCTTGTTGAGCAAGCCCTGATCCACCATGAGGCCTGGTCACAGACCGGGGCGTGGGGGCGTTGACCCCCGAACCCCGAAGCCCACTCCAGGTGATAGCAAAATATCTTTATGCCACAAAGGAATCAGTTTATTACATATATTTTTCAGTCTCAGATAAATTACCAGCAATGATCAGAGTAAAAAAGAAAATTACCCATTAAATGGTGCCATTGGCCAATTAGCAGTAATCAGAAAAAAGCAACAGCTACCATGTGCTAGGAACAGCACTGTCAAACACTTAATGAGGTAAGTGAGACCTCAGTGGAGCAGATACCTTTACAACAGACTATATTAAGCCTGTCGGGCAGGGAGGGGGGGCAAAGTTGTTAATAAAGGTATTTGCTGTATTCGAACGCGTATAACTTGCTCCACGTTGTTATTTACATACATACCATTACCGTTCCAGATTAGGTGGGGTAACTGTTGGCTCTATTGCAGGCCAGTTCAGCAACTGCATGCTTGCATAAAAGTAAACTGTATTATGGTAAGTGCCTCTATTCCATCATAAAACACATTAGCATCATACTAAATAGTTACTTCATAATGGTGAATGTATTCTTACGAGTACTGCCTTTGTAGGAAATAATTTTTATTTTACCAATGACAAAATGCTTATTGTACAGAGCACAAGGATATAGATATTACGGGAAACTGTCCCCACACATGCATAGTATTTTTAAATAGGTAAAAAAAAAAAATTCAAATTATTTTTATTTTCACATGGAATGAAATACACAGCTGTTCATATTTGCCATTACTGTATCTACAAAGAGAATATAGTATTAGAGAAGCCATATAACCATGATCATACCATTTTTAAATAATGTACAAAGAAGTTGCTCTCAAGGTGTTGGTGAAAAATCCTGAGCTCCCTGATAGCAGATTTAATTTACTGTTGATGCCAACAATGATGTATGTACAAGGTTATAATCTGTTTACTTGCCAATCTTTGGACCGAAGTAGAACTGAACAAGTCCAGATTCCTTTGCCTGAAAATATAAATATAATTGTTAGGGGGAAAAATTACATAAATTACACTAAAAATTTAAAGCAAAGCTCAAACTAAGATTTCGTGGAAAAATGGCAGTAAAGAGGGATGTTCACCTGTGTGGGTTGAGGGGCAGCTGAATGGAGGGGGCAAAATACTGAACATACTTTGAAAACAATCTTCATTTCATGAAAGCACTGTACATGCAAGGTGGATTGTAAAATTTTATTCAGTGACATCTGAACTCCACAGTACCATGACTGCCATAAATATTTTTTACATATTTCCTTAAAGAAAATTTTATAATATAGTAAACCACAAATTAGAGCAGAATCAGTGTACAATTGTCTTCCTACTGAAAAAATACAATTAAAACAATGTGTGAAACTTGGTACCCCCACCTCCATAAATTTTCCAAATCTGCTCACCAAGCCATGAGAGGTGCTCCCATTTCCCAGTTTTTCATGGCTCTTGCTAAGCAAATTGTGTTCACTAAACAGTATTCTTACCTATTGTTTTTCCCAAATTTATACAACTCATGAATGCTGAATTTATATAAAAATACCAAAACACTTGTATAAAAAATTTGAAGAGAATATACAATACAGTGGAATTAAGAAGACTTATGCAGACTATTTCTGAAAACTAATAAAAGTATCATAAACTATCATAACTGCACATTCCTGTGCCTTTAAACAGTGATGTACCTAGGTATATTTCTACAAATGTTAAACTTACTGGTGATCTGATAATAGTGAACAAGTGTTTAAACATTGTTGTAGTGGAGGCAAATTCAACATTTTCACTGAAAATGCCACAACACATCACCCAAACACATCACACATAATAGAAATTAACCAATAACTTTCCAAGACAAAATATTATTTGGTTAATAAAATGTGGGAAGATATTTAGGCAAGTCTTCTATATATCTGGTACCATTTAGTAATGAAATGTAGCTTATTTTTACAATGTCGACATGTTGAAGGGTCCAGCTGATGCTGCCTCACCAGTAAGCAGGGCTTACTGGTGAGGGCCGGCACAGCACATTAGTGATGTATCGGATGTTCGAATCCGCATCTGCACAATTTCTTACATCCACATCAACATCCGCACAATTTCTCGCACCTGCACCAGCAAAATAAGCAAGACATCCTCATACACATCCGCATCCACGGATATCTAAATGTTCACGTCCAATACATATCTACAGCACATACTGTGGTGACCCTAAAGATCTCCAACAAAGATAGTTTCCTCCCACATTCTTGTATTTTTTCTTTGCTTTGGCTTTATCAAAGCCATTTATCTTTGGTATGTTTGATATAGGTGTGATTTTCAATGTTTGGCACACGAGTATGTACTTTTATTTTTATGATGGTTATGAGGAGCATGTCAGCTGACAAATTTCGCTACATCTAACTTGATCCAGCAGGCCTACACTAATCTTTTAACTGTGTCCAATGTGCTAGTACAAAAGTGATGACTGTGTCAGATGTAATACAGGAGGGCCCCACTTTACAGTGCTTCGCTTTGCAGCATTTCGTTAATACAATAGTCCCCCTAAATTCGCGGGGATTACATTCCAAGACCACCTGCAAATTTGGAAAAACCACGAATTCTGAACGCAGTTAAAAAAAACTATAAATGCCTATTTTTAGAGTTTAAACCCTAAATATCCTCTCAAAACACTATAATTTCAAACTCAGCTTCATACATCACCCTTTAAAAAAAAAAATATGAAGATAAACCCATATACAGTGGACCCTCAGTTAACAACAATCCATTCCAGAGAGCTTGTTCTTAATCAATTTTATCGTTATCTGAATTTTCCCCACACGAAATACAGTGGACCCTCATTTTTCATAAGGCTCAAAAGTCGTAATTTTCGGAAATCGTAATTTTTTTTTTATCAAAACTGACTCAGAATCGTCGTTTGACTCACAAATAGTCATCCATCTGGGACGCGTACACACGGCCCTGAGCCGCCTCACACTCCATTCCCAGCTGGTGTGCCATTATCAGCAAGTGAAGATGATACCTAGAGTTCATACAATACATTTCATAATATTCCATTTGTTTTAGTGCTTGCAACTGCTAAATAAGTCACCATGGCTCCAAAGAAAGCTTCTAGTGCCAGCCCTTTGGTAAAGAATGTGAGAAACACATAATTTAAGAAAAAGTTTGTAGAAAAATATGAAAGTGGTGGTGGTAGCAGTTGTGATGGTGGTAGAGGGTGGTAGTGATGGTGGTAGGTGGTAGTGGTTGTGATGGTGGTAGTGGTTGTGATGGTGGTAGTGGTTGTGGTAGTGGTTGTGATGGTGGTAGTGGTGCCTTCTTCAGTGATTCTATTACTCCTCCAATGTTGTTGGAGTTATATAGGGCTGCAGAAAACACCGGCACCTCAGCTGCTACTTCACCACCATTATGGACGGCTTATGCTCTCAGTGGCCCTTATACACCCAAGAACTGCACACCTCTTGTGACATACATAATGACTATTTTATTCATTCTAGAGTATATTCCATGTTTCTATGTTATTAATATTGTTTATGTCATATTAATTGAATTGTGATAGATAAATAAGCCGTAGAGTTGATATTAGTGTCATTCTCCAACAATAAACTTTCCTCCCCTCCCTCTGCCCTGTCTGCCATACACCAACAAGTCTTCAATAAAGGTAAGTGTGATGTTAAATGTTCATTTATACATTTTATTAGTGCTTTACATTTATTTGGGATTCTTTTCTGCATGTAAATCTATAAGCTAGGGAAATGTCCCCTAAAGTGACCTAGTCCTTATGGAGGGGGATTCCCCTTCCAAACAATAACATCTCTTCCCTCTCTCCTCCTTCAATACAGGTAACTGTCATGTTGAATGTTTATTCTTTTGTGCATGTAAATCTATCTTTAAGGTAAAAATAAATTTTTTGTTGATACTTCTGGGTGTCTGGAATGAATTAATTGGATTTACACTATTTCTTATGGGGAAAGTGGACTCGCAAATCGTCAATTTCGATAATAGTTACACTCTCTGGAACGGATTAATTACAAAAAACGAGGGTCTGCTGTAATGGAAATCCAATTAATCCGTTTCAGACATCCAAAAGTACTAAACAAATTTTTTTTTACATGAAATATACATTTCCCTACAAAGAAAGCAGTAATACATGAAGAATAAAACAATAACATCACGCTTACCTTTATTGAAGACGTGGTGATGTATGGAAGACAGGAGGGGAGAGGACGGAGGAGTTTACAATTGTTTGGAAGGGAAATCCCACTCCATAAAGACTTCAGGTACCAGGTCCTTATCCTGGGTTACTTCCCTCCTTTGTTTTTTGAATGCCACTAGGACCAGCCACTGGACCCGTCACTCATAAAAGTTTTCCAGAGGTCTGTTTCTGGCGTATATTAGGAATTGTGTTGGGAGACACAAGATAGTCCTAATATCAGCTCCACGGCTTATTTATCTAGCACACTTTATCTAATATGACATAATATTAATAAAATAGAAACACGACATATACTCTAGAATGAATAAAATACGTCATTAAGTATATCATGAGTGTTGCTGTGTTGTATTTATGAAGGGATTCAGGGAAACCGGCAGGCCAGATTTGAGTCCTGGCGATGGGAAGTAGTGCCTGCACTCTGAAGGAGGGGTGTTAATGTTACCGTTTTATGACTGTAGTATAAGTACACCTCTGGTAAGACAGTGATGAGTGAACGATGGTGAAAGTTTGTTTTTCAGGCCACCCTACCTTGGTGGGAAATGGCAGATGTGTTGATAAAAAAACAAAATAGTGGCCCCCCCAGATATCATAATACGTATATTCAGTAATCGTAATTTTTTTTCATCAAAATAATGGCTCGGTGATCATCATTTAGCTCAGTAATAGTCATCTGCCCCGAACGCGTACGAGCGACCCCACACACCATTCACAGTCAATCTGCCATTGTTTATCAGTGAATGACCATCCCCCATCACCCCATGCATTCATACGATACATTTCGTAATATTACATTCTTTTTAGTGCCTGCAACTACTAAATAAGCCACCGTTGGCCCAAAGAAAGTTCCTAGTGCCAGCTAGCCCTCTGGTAAAGGGCTGAGAGAGAGGAAAGAATGTGCCTTCTTGAGTGATTCTGCGACATGCACGATACTAAAGCAGCAAGAGTCAATAAAGGCTATAGCGCCAGCCAGCGATAAAGTGTAGCAAGTTAAGTGATTAATCAATAGAAAAAGGACAGCACGAAACTGACTCCTCCAGTATTGTTGGAGTTATATAGGGCAACTGACAACACCGTCGCCTCTGCTGCCACCTTCACCACCACTACGTAAGGCTTATCTTTCAGTGGCCCTTATACACTCAACAACAGACAACACAACACTCATCACATATGCAATAACATATTTAATTCATTCTAGAGTATACTATATCATGTTGCTCCTATGTTATTAATATTGCTTATTATATAATATTAGATAAATTGTGCTAGATAAATAAGCTGTAGAGTTGATATTAGTGTATGTTGAACTATCTTGTCTCGACTCCAAACACACCCCTGCTGCCACAGCAATTCCTAACGTACGCCAGAAACAGACCTCTCTGGAACACTTTTTTGAGCAACAGGGATCTAGTGACTCTCAAGCTGGTCCTAGTGGCATTAAAAAACAAAGAAGGGAAGTAACCCCAGAAAAGGACTTGGTACCTCAAGTCTTTATGGAAGGAGATTTCCCTTTCAAACAGTAATCTCTCCATCCCCTTCCCTCCTCCTCCTCCTCCTCAGGCAAGTGTCATGTTATTACTGTTTTATACTTCGTCTCATTGTTTTCTGTGTAGGTAAATGTATATTTCATGTAAAAAAAATAAATTTTTGTAATACTTTTGGGTGTCTGAAATGGATTACAGTGGACCCTCGGGTAATGGTGGCATCGGCTAATGCCAAAATCAGATAGCGGCACATTTTCGCGTCAAAATATTGGCTCGGCTAACACC